AAATAAGGTGGACTTTAAGGAAAAAAGCTTTGCAACAGGCTCAAATAAGGTTGAATTAGAAAAAAGAAAAGAAAAGCAAAAAGCAACTGAAGAATAAGAGAAAATCAGAAAAGCTCTAGCAGACTTGCAAGAAAGATTCAAAACAATAGAGCATATGCTTGCTCTGCGCTTCTGAAATTCACCCTAGTTGAATTAAAGAATTTGGACATGGCAAATAATCTCACTCTAGCCATACAAGAGCCCAACATTTTAAGATCAAATGAGACTTTTCTAAAAAGAATAGATTATGAATCACTGATAATTAGTTTTCAAAATATTAATAGCATAAAACAGAGTATACAGAAATTACTTGCACTAGCAGAATAGGGCAAAGAAGAGGATTTGGATATAATTGGTATTGCAGAAACAAATATAGGTATATTGGAAGAAAAGTGGATAAAAATAGACCATTAAGGGTATAGCAGTTTCTGGTCATCCAAAGAAGAAGACAAACATAAAAGTTCAGAACATCACTGAAATGGTCTAGTGATATTTGATCACTAGAATCTATTATGCTTCCAATTCCAGTAATCCCTACTGGAATACTACAATTTCAGTGATATTTCCTAATGCTAACATATCAATATGCATTTCTACGTAAAAAGGTAACTATAATAGTCACACAATTTGTTATATTTAAAAGACTAGATTATTCTCAACTTGCATAATATCATTATTATCAAATTTTGCAATCAAATAGATTAAAAAAAGTACTATGTAACTTCATCAAAAATTAATATTTCTCGATTTTAAGATATAAAGTTTACTCTAAACAAGTTTACTTAGAGAACGAAAAGTTACCTTAGTAGAAGAACAAGTTTGCTATATACAAACATTAAAATTTTTATTTTTTCTACAGTATATACAACTTTTTTTACTAACCTGCTTTGGTCTCTTAAGTAAAATTGTTTGGAATAAAATTTTAAAATTCGATTGAATTTTATATTAAAAAATTTTTTTTAAAAAAATATTTTTTCATGTAAAATTCAATTGAATTTTCACTTAGTAAAAGGTCTAAAAAAATGAATTTTGGCAAACTATATATGTGTAAAATTTCATTCTGAACAAGTTTCCAAAGCAGGTTATCTTTCATAGACAGAAATTCATTTGATTGGTCAATTTTCTGTAGATTGGCATAGATCAATTTTTTGTTTTTATAAAATTTGATTGGTTGATCATATTTACATGTTTTATATTATATATAATTATAGTTAATAATGAAAAAATTAATTAATGCGTTTAATATAATAATTTTGATCATCGCTAATAATATCGATATGATGAATTAATAAAAGTTTAGTTCACCAATATCTTAGCAATTTTTGAGAAAATTTTGATGCAACTTTTCATTTTTTATATATCCTGTACTAATTAGCTGTGCCATATATTATTAGTTATTAGTTATTAATAATTCGATCAATAAATTAATCATTATTAATTATTAATAATTTAGGAGGTTCTATCACTATATATAATGTAAAATTACTTATAATACGAATTATTTCAACTCAATCTTTATTTAAATATATTTTGTACAAATTAAAAAAAAATTGATACATATACAAATATAAAATTCTTTAAAATAACCAAATTAAAAACTATAATAGAAGAAATTTCTATATCATATCATCCCAAGGAGCTGAAATACCATTAGCAAATTCTTTATCATCATCTTCATCTTCTTTAGTAATTGAATTAGGGTCTTCATTTTCGACGCTAATATTCAAATCAAGTTTACTTAGACTTTCTAAAAGTAATTGCACATGCTTATCAATATCATCTTTAAGATGATTTAAATAATGCAAACACTTGGACCCATCCTGGCTGAAACATCTATCATGATATGTATAGCCACATAGCAATACTTGACTTGTTTCTTCAGTAATGATAGTGTTAGCAAAAAAACAATTAGAAGAATCACAACCAGATAAACTTGGCTTATGCGAAGAACTATATCCTAAGGGTAAATGACAAAGCCAAGCTTTCTTTATTTTTATTGCCAGAATAAGCATACTAGTTCCAATATTAGAATTTTCACCTTTCTTTTTTTTTTTTAACAGACATATCAGAGCAACCTGTGGTGAAATTAAAAATAGAACCTTTTCTTGATTAATATGAGTATAAATATCAGAAAAACATTTTAAAAAAAAGCAAGCAGTTTTCTGCATCAAAGTTTTGATATTCCGAGAAGAGTATTGATAAACCGCCCAGGATATAGTATGAACAAAATTTTCCTTAAAGCCATCATTGTTAAATCGTAAAAAGTTAATATATCATGCTTCTTTAATTATTTGTTGTGCCGTAAGATGTTTTTCTGTATGGTGTTGTAAGAGACTATAAAATATTTCCACAGGTGTATCAGAGAATTTTAGTAATTCAGCACTCATCGTCTCTAAAATTGGATGATTATTAGATTGCTAATAAAAAATATCTGAAAGAAACATTAAAGGTGTTTTAGTATAATTTCTATGCTGAAATTTATAAAAGATAGCCCAAACCCGAAAACAAGATTCAATATATGAATTGAGATCGCTGGCTTGAAAAAATAAAGCATAAATATCGAGAACTAATGGAATTGTGTTGTCCAATAGTTCTTTAAGCATCAAGTACTCTGCATCTTTGCATATGCTTCTGAATTTTATTTCAACTATTTTTGTGATTTCTTGCTAGGCACTATGTGAGAGTTCTAAGAGCAAGTTTATATGCCACAGTTTTGGTTTTTGTGGAAGCTTTTTCTTCGCTCCAAATATATATTTGTATATTTCAGAAAAAAATAGATAGTACTGGAGAAGTATTAATTCTTAACTATTCAGTGAAATGTGCAAAGGACCTAATATAGGAAAGAAAGATAAAATTTTATTAGTGATTCCTAAAGAGCTACCATAAACAAGATACCGTGATAAAGCAGTTCTCAGGTGTATTTGGCCAGGCCAATCTGCGATGACTAGAATAACATTGCCGTTTTCAATATATCTATTTATAGTTGAAACAAATACAGCAGTATTAATGGCCTTAATATAATCTTCTATTATATAAAGACCACTCTCAAACAGATCCACAATCATAGCATCTTTTATTGCTCTTGAGCTTCTTTTTTCTTTCAAACTAATGTCATAACTATGGACCATCAATTCTTCGAGTTTTGTCTCATCATCCACGAAGCAAAATCCCCAGCGCCGATTATGAATAAATGAGTATGCCGACATAAACTGATTTTTAATTTCAGTTTTGATTAGTTAAGCATCAACTAATGCGTGATTGTGAATATCTAGGCTTGGAATCACTGGTTGAGTTCTAATTGGATTAAGCAAAATAGTAATAAAATGTAACGAATTAGATTTCTTGGTTATAATAGGCATTTTAATGGTATGGATATTATGATAATCGTCAATATTTAAAAGTAGCACATTGTTAGAATTATCTTCAAGATTTTTTTTCACAGTTGTTAGGTACTTTTTTGATACAGAATCTTTATAGTAAGCAATTAAACAAGACGTTATTGTTATGCCTAATATCACTAAGGTGTCAATTGTTGAATTGGGTGTTCTAGTAGAATCTAAATACATCTCTAAATCTCTTTTTACATTGTTAACAAATTTATTCCTAATACTACAAATAAAATAACATAAAAATACTAATTGTTTTAATACTTTTTTCATTGTTTTATTATTTTTTGACTCCAGATTAGTTGATAGATATAGTTTATCAAAAAAAGACTTCAGTTGTATATCTTCTGATTGCATAATTGTATGAAGCTCTTCAAAACCCCAAATTGGTAACAGCCCTTTATACTCTCGCTCATAAAGAATATCCGTAATTATTCCTATTGCTTGTGAAAAAGATAAAGTAGTATTAGTGTTAATATCAGATGATTCTGGCTTAATATGCAAATGCCAATTTAGCACATGCTATTGAAATTTAAAAGATGCGTTTGTAACAATTGCGTTATAGCAATCTAAGCATATTGTGTCAGATTCCTTAACATAAGGAGGAAGCATTCTATTGTTTGCTCCTTTAAAAAGAACCAGAGCGGTTACGGACTTCCAAGCTGAAGATTTTCTCTTGCAAATTTCTATAATGCAGGGTCCTATGACTTTCTTTTCTTTATTTATTATGAAAAGTCACTACTAAGCTAACACCACTTAAATATAAGATTATAAAAAATTATTTTTAAAGGTAGTCTTCTGGCACTAAAACAAAGCAAATTATGTAAAAAAAATTTTTCCACGTTAGTGAAACATTGTATATTTCAAAAAGTACTTTAAAGTGTATAAATACGTTACCCGGGCAATTGATCTGCATCAGCCAATCAAACGAATTTCTGTCTATGAAGGTTATCTTAGTAAAAAAAAAAAGTTTATATGGAAAAAATGAAAATTTAACGTTTGTATATAGCACTTGTTTTTACATTTTCATTAAGCTTTCTCAATAATCATTAGTTCAAATTCAATATTTTAATTCTACAAATATATGGAGAATTAAAGTAAAAAAATTTTATCACTCAAAAATCTTTGGATAATGAAAATGTACAACACTGGTATATATATTCAAATTACACGATTTTTGCTGAATTTTAAATCGGCATTCATAGTAACCTTATTCTACTTTTTCGAGCAAAATTTGATAATAAGTTAATATAAAGTTTATAGTAATAATTTTATAATTTTATGTATAAATTTAGATGTGACAAATCGTGCGACTGATATTATCGTAAAAAAAAATTTTAAGAGATACCAAGTTTATTGCTTTTTCTTTGGCAAATATGTTACACGAATATATAGATGAAACAAGTCATGTGATTTCAGTCTTTAAAGGCGCTCAACAGGTTAACGTTAATAATTGTCTAAAAATTAAACAAATCGGTATGTGCGTACACATTGATAAATCGGGGCTACAATTTAAACAGACGTAGTCTAATTTATTAGAGTCGTAGTTTTCACTTTCGTATCAACAACTTGAAAATGGATCACCTACATTCTCCAACACAAAAACGTCCATTAGTTGAAGAGACTAGCTTACCTACGCCTGATGTCGCACATCCACCTTCTGAACAACAGACTAAACGTCTTAGACTCTTACCACCTATTTCAGTCACTCCTCCGCAAGCACCTCCAAACGCTTTCCAACCAAAATTTCAACTACCAATTCCTCCGACCTTACTCGAATCTAATGCAACTAACCTATCAAATCTTTCTATCAATTCCTTATCCGCAACTGATTCACCAGTATTACCAATCACTTCGCCTAGAGCGCCTTCGGGCCAACAGCAAGAATTACCCTCTATTGATTCTTTAGGTCCTTTACCGCCGATTCCTCACTATGTTTCCACCACCCCCCCTAACTCAATGTCTATATCAGCAATTCTTTCAAATAATGATGAACCATTTATTAGAAAGCTTGATATGAATATCAAGGAAATTGGAATTGGGAATAATTTGATCAAACAGCATAATTCACATGATTATAACAATCCACATCATTCGTTAATTTTTGATGAAAGCTCAAATGATATTCACACTGAAGAATTAGCAGAAAAACAGGCAGATAAGGAGCCAGATCAGAACGATATTGATGACGGAGCGCAAGATTTAAACTCAGACAATGCAAACGATAATGTAATTGATTATGATCAAAACGAGAATAATAGGGAAATTGGAGAAGAAGGAAATGAATCTGAGGAAGACAATCAGAGTGACGAATTTTCATTTGATTATTCCTTATTTGAAGGAATAAATTTACAAAGAGAGCCACACTTGATTGTTCAAAATGATGAGGCATTAAACATGGAGGGTCGAGAAGAACGGCATCTAGGTTAGTTAAAATTTGCAGATCAAAATTGTTCTTTGAGAAAGGCAGATTTTATAATAGAAAAAATGAACAAGAAACATGATCCAACACATTTTCGACCTTTCCTAAATTTAGGACATATAATATACAACCCAAAAGAAATTCTACCACCTTTAGAATTTCATGAAAATGGTTTATTAGAAATATGGATTTCTTCCAAGCATTTGACGTGGAAAAACAATAAAGTTAGAAGCCAATTTCTATGGGGTACAGATGTTTACACGGATGATTCAGATATTATTGCAGGTAATAAGTTTTTGGTATCTATAATTAACGTAATTAATTGATTTAATTTTTTGATGCTTTATATGTATATGTCTATTTTTTTTTTTTTGCATTTAATTAGTGCTTATTCACACGGGACATTATATTCCTCCACCGCCCAATTCATCTAATTATCCCGACTATGATCTTTGTGTTACTATCAGGGTTTTACCAAAATTGGTTCAATACACCGCAACTATACGAAATCATTATCAAAGTCGATCATGGGGCAATCATCATGGTGTTAGTTATAAAGTTGAAAGTGTTCGCAAGATGAAGGTATGTTACTTTTTTTTAAAGTCGTTTTTTTTTTTCCTAAATTTTAACGTTAGTGAATAAAAAAAGAATGGTGAAGCTATCGGACGATCGATAGGCCATGGCAGGAAAGAACGTCTGCGAAGGTTTCATAAAATGAGGAAACGTGCATTTGAAGAAAGCGAGCTTAACCAAAGCGAAGATCCTGTTATTGTTTTTAATAACGAAGGGGATCCATGGTAAAGTTATCTTTATATATTCCATTTGTACATTCGCGCTATCATAGTTTATTTTTATTCATTTATATTATATAGCTTCAAATATACTCCTCAATTGATGGCAGACGATGAATCCGTGAGAAAACGTCTTAAAAATGAAGTAATGTATTTGGAGAATGACGATGAACGGTAAGGGAGCTTTATTTGCTGAAATATCTGAAACTTACGCTAACAATCTTATCTTCATATAGTTATGAAATATCCTACGATGAGACCCGAGACAAATATCGTTTTGCGATTGTATCATCTGCTGTACATTTGGGTCCTCCAGTTCCATTAAAAGATCAAGAAAACTCAACTGATAAAAGACAAATATTTCCTTTGCCTTCAAGCTTGGAAGATTCATTTCGTGATGACTTGGACTATCACGAAATGACTTGGAATATTGTGGGTGTAATTGTTGCTGACAAAATCAATCCGTTACATAGTTTGCTATGCATTTCTAAACGTGTATTTTGGCGTGATCGAACCGTATGAATCCCTAGAGTGTTATTTACTTTTCTATGATGAAGCAGTATTAAAATGGTTTAATGTGACTAATAACTAAATGTGTGCCGAATCTCAAAACTTTTATTACTTATATATTTAATGATTAAGTTATTTTGTTTATCATCACTTATTATTGAAGTTTTTATCAGTTTCTGAACTTTAAACGTGACGCATTGTTAGATTTAATCTTCAGTCTTTTGAATAATGATTTTATGTATATAATATTTTTTATTTTTGATAAAAATAGAATTGATAAAATTTACATGAAAACTTCTAATTCTATTTATAAATTATTAAAATAAACCATTTAATCTTTATAACATACGAGGAAACATTTTCTTTCGGTGTGTGATTTTTTTTTTCTATTATTAATTGCTGGTAATCAAGATATAGTATATTAATAAAGACAATTTCTTTATTTCATCGTAATTTTTTGAGCTAACGCTAGTGTTCGAAAAATATGTACGCACTTACACGATTTTTATGGTTTATAACGCTAATCACAAGTTATATCATTTTTTGTAGCCCATATAGGATTATGCGCCGGTAATTGCAAAATTATTTATGCGAATTTGAGTTATTAGCCAATAAAATTCAAAAAAGTAAGTCAGGTGATTATAGTCACATGTACAAAGAAGTTTATTTATTTAACCAATCAATTTTTGTTCACATGTTGCGCGAAAGGCATTTACTGTGGCAGATCATAATGAAATCGGATTAAAATGAAACTGGGAACCTTTCTTGCTCATCTTTAAAGCTTATAAAACCCACTTATACTCTTTTATTAATAAAACTAACTCTAAACTCTAACTTTAACACTAACCCTAACCCTAAAAAATGTCCCCCAAAAAATTTTAAATTTTCCTAAAAAAAATAGAAAAATTTCATTTTAATCCGATTTCATTTTAATCTGTCACATTTACTAATTCCCCCCAAGTTTCTATTGGTTGACACTTTTGATTGGATAAAATCGACGATCCTCAATAACGTGATGCTATGCCGATACTGTATTACAGTTATTCGTGATACTGTATTACTATATTGCTGACTTTAACTGCCAAGTTTTTTTTTTGTGCTGCTTTGAACTTGCATCTTAATAATAATATTTTTGACATTATAGCTAGATCGAAATAACCCAGCAGCAACTTTTTATATACTTATTAATTATTTGCTAAATACTAATACTAATATATTTATTGCTTATTTATTTAGCACTAATTTATTATTCAAAAAAAAAAAAAAAAACTCAAAGGTTTGCTTTTTATATTTAATAAAATACCATTTTATTGATTTTTTTTTTTTTTAAATTTATTAAATTTGAAATATTATTAAAATCTAGATAACTACACTAAGAAACACTCTAGCAATATTTCAAAAGCTAATATCTGACTTCTTAATTTACAATTCTTTGATAGTCTTTTACTTTTAGCTTGTAAATCATCAGCAATTTTAATTTTCTTGTTTGGTTGATTTTGGCAGTTCCCCATTTACAGAAAATATAATAAATCAGAACAACCATGGTAGTATAATATCAAGGAAGTTGCTTGATACAAAATAACCATTGTTCTGGTAGCATTATTTCCAAGAGCTCTTCCAAATAATAAGCATATTATAATAATGCTTTTTGATTCTCTGTTCTACTAGATTGGAGAAGATACTAGTATATATTTGTAGTTTGAGCTTGATAGTTTTGTAATAGATCATAGAAGATAATAATTTTTTTTTTTTTTATATATTAAGTTGATTACTTAGACCATTGGCATGAGCTTTATTCAGGTAGTTATGATATTATATCTATTTTACGAAAATACAACTAGCCACATGTGCACCTTTTGGGTGCCTAATTTAAGTAGTCTGTCTGGGTTCTACATTAGCTATCATACCTGCAATTTAACTAGGAAATTACCTATTTAAGCTCTCTGGTTATTTCTAACGAGAGTATGACTAGCTATATGGGGTGTTTCTAATTAAAACAGCCCAGATTTACATTTTTAAAAAAAATGAGTTTTTATTAAATTTATGTATATTTTGACATGATTAATATTTTTCAATTATAAATGAAGTCGATTTGTATAATAAAAAATCAAGATAATGTAGAAGAATGTAGAAGAAAATTACACAAGGCCAAGCATATCACAAGATTACCCGATAGTCACCTGTTACTTTTAACCAATCAAAATCGTGAAATTTAGTTAATCCAGATCAGTCTGAAAATCAAAACAAATAATTAAACTCAATTATCTCAAAATGAAATATATGTAAATCTGGGCTGTTTTAATTGGTGACACCCTATATATGCAACTTTTGGTTGCCTATTTAAGTAGTCTGCCCTAGATTCCACACTAGCTGCTGTATCTATAACCCAACTAGAAAGTTACTTATTTAAATCCTCTGGCTACCACTTTTGTAACATGCTCTACCTTAACACTTATATGAGATTAGCCATTGCCGTGAATGATCCTAAGACTTTAGCCAAACCATATTGGAGCATTTATTCTTGTAATAAATCTAACAGAGTAGTGCATGTCCTACACATGTGCTCACCTGCATGTTTGGTAACTTTCCCCAATTAGTACATGTTGTACTACTGCTACCAGGTTCGTATCTCAAGCTATCCTTTTGGATACTGCTGTAACCCAATCCGTATCTTAAGCCACAACCTTTCTAATTAGTTTCCACTTACGTACTCCTGCTCTTGCAAGGTTCATAACGGTTCCAGTACCCATATTCTAACTGTCTTTTTTTCTGGATTCCTTACTAGTCTCTCCCTTACTTCTAGCTAGCAACCTAGAAGAGTTGGTCTGTCCAGACTCTAGGTGCCCTATAGTCCTCCTCCCCTTGGTATACTGTATGCTTCCAGATCACAAGTTCTTTTCTTCTGGTGGTGAGTCAGTGGTTCGGCTGATGTGTTCCCCCACTTAAGAACCTGGTCACTTGGTTCTCTGATCTTAGTCTCCAGTTCTAAATTTAGTTTTCTTATAGCATTGTCAAAGATTACTGCTACTTCTTAACTCGAGACTTGCCAAATGGGTTTTCAGTTATTCCAGTTCCTTGGATTTATTACACCAAAGCTCCCATTCAAGATGGTATAACCAAGATTACAAATTAGGATCCAACCAATAGTGATAGCCATTAACTGTATCACAGGGCTATTTTTCAAAAATATCGTCCGTAAAATTCAAACTCTAGATCTGCTATCTGGGGGTGTGACAACTTCATCACTTTACTAAATCACCACACCCTTATAAAAAACAATAATTAGATCACTAACTTGATTATTATTATTATAGAATGACAATTTGGTTATAACTTTCTTATAAAGGTTTTCTATATTATGTAAGATTGAAGATTATTTTTGTTATATATGAGATTAAAAAATGGAATAACCCTGAAGCTATTTTTAACAAGATAAAAATAATTTTTTTTTAAAGACTAAAGAAAAGCAAGTAAGGTATTTTATAGTTTTTTTTTTTGAACTATTTAATTAAAAAACATGGACAATAATTTGGTATTTTTATCATGTAATTTATATATGTTATTAGGCAAGATTTTTGAAAATAAACTTAGCTATTTTTGGCTAAATTTATGACTTCTATATATATTTAGGCATGAGTTAATTTAGTATAGTAATTTTATTATATTGTATTTTTTAATTATATTCTAACTTTACTTGTTAATAATATACTAAGCAAAAAAGGTTTTTTGTTTAATATAATATAATACTAGTGAAACCAATAGATTCAAATCTCTTGCCATCTCATAAGCTAAGTTTGGCTTGCTATCAGTAGCATCTTTTAGTATAATAAAATACTTAAAATTTGCCCGATTGTTAACTATAGCATTTTTTACTAATTATTATACCAATTAGTAAATATTCCGATTATAGATATTGAAGCAATTTTAACAAGTTAGAATTAAAGATAAAGCATTAGTGTGTTTATACTTAATATTTGCCTAAAAATATTTTTTGAAGATTTTGGTATTCTCTTAGAGATAAATTAGATTTAATTTTGTTCTTTTAAATATATTTAATTTAATTGGTGATCCACCAGTCAACCAGAGAATTATATAACTCAAATTACTTATAAAAATGTAAATCTTCTAAATGTAGAGTGCACGCATTTAAAACTTTTTTTTATATTAAGTTAATCACTCTTCTGGCTTAAGAGACTTTTTAGAGCCTGTTAAGACACATCTAATGGTGAATAGAGCGTCAAAATCGGCCTTGTGAGTGCCAAGATATCTTTAAAAATCTTTCTTTTACTATGTAAATTTCTTTGCAAACAATACTATTGTTTGCAAAAAAATTTACATAGTAAAAAAAAGGTTTTTTAAAGATATCTTGGCACCCACAAGGCCGATTTTGACGCTCTATTCACCATTAGATGCGTCTTAACAAGCTCTACAAAAGTCTCTTAAGCCAGAAAAGTGATTAACTTAGTATAAAAAAAAGTTTTAGATGCATGCACTTTAAATTCAGAAGATCTACATATGGGGACCCTCATAGCAAAAGGGGGCAGTGGGACAAAAATTTTGATTTTGTAATTTTATAAACATTGGTTTCCT